GGGCCCTGGCGGCGCGGGCCAGAGGGCACTGCCAGGCCATCGAGGCCTTGCGCGCGTCGCAGCTCAAGCGGGAGACGAGTGGGCTCGGCCGCCCACGTTGCCAGGTTTGTCGCTCTGTTTTGCACGTGGTTGTCGATGTTCCGCCGGCCTTGGCGGCGAGGAGATGTCATCTCAACGCCCCGTCCGCCCCGGACCCGTCGGGCGGCCCAGGGGGCGACGGCTCTCCCGGCCCGAAATCTGCGCGTGCCGGGCGGGAGCCGCCGGCGAAGAAGACGGCGACTTTTTCGCGGCGAGCAGAGGTGGAAAGGTGCCCCCGGGGCGTCTTCCGCCCAATGACCGAGCCATGGTCGCGCAGTCTGGTCAGAAGGAGCGGCCCAGCAGAACGGTTCGAACATGAGAACCGCCCGGAGGCGCGTTTTCCGATCCTGGCGCCGACAGCAGATGGCGCGTGCATGGCGACAAAGACCTGGACTCCGGCGCCCAGGAGGTGCATGCTCCGACCCCGCAGACCAGCTCAACCATGCTGTTCTCGCAGGGGGCCATGAACCTGTGGCCGCAGTGCGCCGTCGCGACTGCCAAGAATTCCTCTTTGCCTGTCAGACAAGATGCAGTGCTCACTCGGATTAATATTCGTCAAACCGTGAGAAGGCATCAACCTATTTCAGGGATCCTGCATTCGGTTCCTCGTCAACGCGGATGGCCCCAATAACGCGCCCATGGCATGGAGGCGGACCGTCGCGGCGCACATCGGACAGCACGGATTCGCGAGATCCTTGTTCGAGCCCCGCTTGTGGATTGTGTACGATAATTGAGGGCGCATCGCCAACATGATGTTTTTGGAATCCGGCGATCTCTTTATTGTCAATGCAGGTCCCAAGGCCAGGAACGACCTTAGGAACATGCTAAAGTGACCGTTTAATTGATGGCACGTATCGCGATGGCCACGCTGGACCAATCGAATTTGCCCGACGCCGAGTTACAGCGAACTCCTCCACGGACGCGACAGACACGGAGAAATACAGACTTGAAGAACCAGGCCCTTGCCAATGGCCGAGGGGCGTCCACATCGGAAGAACTCGCCGCAAGAAGTGGCCGAGTTCAAGGCCCGTCGCTCCTTGGCACATGTAAGTCCACGTGGGCCAGGCGCGGGGACCAGCCCGAAGCGGCAGGAGTAGCTCGTATTTGGGCTAGCCGATCGAATGTAGTAGCCAGCACTGGCGACGTGACGGTTGCCAACAATTTAGTACGCCACCTGCGTGCGACGATTCCGCGGGGACTCATCATCCGGAGTCTCGACCCGGACCACATGGTTTTTTTTTTCATATCCTTTTCAGACGCTGGCGTCGCGGGAGCGAATGACACATCGACGGAGAGAGAGAGAAGTCTTCCCAGGATCCCACACCCATGGGGCCTCAATGGTTCTGGCCGCCGACCAGGCCACCATCGACAACCAGGCCGTCCGGGCCTCCATTCTCGGCTGGAGAAGTTCCACCGTCAGACGCAAGGTCCCGTCAACCTCAGCTGGGGACCGAGGCCCCGTCGGTCGCCGCGGCCGAGGCCGAGCGTCTGCACAAACAGTGTGCCGGGGCGTCATGTTCTGGGACGGAGACGTGCCCGCGTGCCGCACGGCAGCCGGCCCATTCACCATCGCTCTTCGACGCGACTGTTTGCCTAGAAGCCGAAAGCGGCAAATTCACGTGGTTGACGCCATGTCAGTTTACGATACTACGCACAAAGAGGGGGAGGCTGGTCCCAGGACCGCAGGGCCGCCGTGGACCAGGCCATCATCTGCGAGAATCTCGAGCGCGCCCCGGGCCATGTGAAGTGAATCCCTCACGGCCGCGTGCTGGTCGACTCGGTAACTAAAGATGGCGTTGCAAAATACAACGCGGCCCTATTCGATTTGATGGCACTCGACAGGCTCATTTTCACAGACGAAAATACGGAGGTGGAAAGTCGACGAGCCAACCTGGAGCTCAAGTATGGTTCGCAGTCGGCTTCCCGACAGACACTGCCACGAGAGCCCCATCTAGTATCTTTGGTCTACTTCCAGGAGTCCAGGAACCAGGTCCTTACTGGCGTTGACGTTGGTGGTGGCGTGGTCGGTACCTCTTCCTTCCTCTCCCTTCCCCCTTCCGTCCTCGAATAGGCACCTTCTACATTCCAATGATTGTTGCATCCATTCGTCTTTCCGCTGTACAGTTACACATGCATTGGGTTTCGAGGCGCGCTGTTTTCTGGGATATTGCCGTAAGTATAACAGATGCGTCAGCTTGTTTCGACCAGCGAGCGTGTCTTTTCAGAACGAGTGCCAAACCTAGGAAAAGTTGGACGAAGGTTGCTTCACTCCAGCTCTCGCTCCGTAGGGTTAGCGCTAGTGCATACTCAGGTACACAGCGCTCGACCTTTTCGCACTTTTGGGTCAAGGCTAAAACAGATGTTTGCATATTCTGCTGCCATACCTCCCCTCCAGTCCCCACGGGAACGGGGAGGGGAATGGGTGACCCACTCGCCGAAGGAGAAGGAGGGGGTTGGATGATGGGCCCCGTTAAACTACCTTCGCCCAGAGTTGGTGAGATTTCTATCCCTCTTCCCTTCGCCCCGCAGGCCGTTGCGGACATGATGGCCACTCCGCGCGTGGGCAAGAAGTGCGTCAGGGGAAGGGGAGGCCACGTTCTTTGTTGGTGTGGCACAGGAGTGCCCAGGGCCTGAGCGAAGGGAGAGTCAGGGAGGGTTGAGACATGATCACAGGCAGACGAAAGCCCAGGGTCGGCTATGCGTTGCCGGAACGGTTCCGTTGTTTTGCTGTTCTTCCCGAGGAGTGGAGGAGGAGGAGGAGGAGGAGGAGGAGGAGGAGGAGGAGGAGGAGGTGTTGGAGGAGGAGCAGGAGGAGGAGGAGGAGCATCAGCAGCAGCAGCAGCAGCTGCAGCAGCAGCAGCAGCAGAGGGGGGAGGAGGAAGGGAGGCGTGTTTACTTTCTGGCTGGCTCTCGGCATCGAAACAGGGTGGGCCCCCCGCTACAGCACAGTTCTCCCTTCCCCTCCCCCATCCCCATCCCCAGTCCTCCTCATTTTCCCTGTCCATCCTCCCCCTGCTCCTCATCTCGTTTCCCCTTTCCCTCCCCTGCGTCATCGTCCCCACTTCGCTTTATCTCGCCCCCCCCCCGATCCATGGCCCTCATCCCTCCCGTACGGCTGGCGGTAAGATAGCATGCGATGTTGCGTCGCCGGCCCGCTTATTGTACGCGATCCCCCACCGACGAAGCCCTGGCAGAGGGACAGTGTGCACTAACAAGACCTTCGTAGCGGGATAGCATGCGCAGAACGAGCCCTCGAGGGAACGCCTCACAGGAATAGCGTGCTTTTGGGAGATCGATGTTGCAGGCTATCTTTGCGACGCCAACCCTATCAATCCACCCCCTGCTCCTCCCTGTTTCCCTTTTCCCTCCCCTGTATTCTCCTCTCCCCTTCGCTTTCTCCCGCACTCTCCCCTTCCCCTCCTCCCCTGTCCAGATTCCCAATATTGTATCTATTGAGCGGGGTCGGACAGGATAGGTTCTCCATTTTTCGACAGATGGCGGCGTCCCGGCGCCACCGCCTAGCCCCGTGTAGGGCCTCGGCCTCAGGACGACACGGGCGCAGTCTCGGGTCTTCAGTCTCCTTTCTCCCGTAGCAAGATTGTTCCCCCCCATTCCATAGTCCTCCCCCCGTCCTTCGTTTCTCCCTCCTTCCTTCCCCCTCTGGTTCCATCCTCCCCCGTCCTTTCTCCCTCCCTCCCTCCCCACCCCTCCTGCTTGATCCTGCTGCATGCGCGGAAAGGGTGACACTCGCGGGGTCAGAGCGGGAGGTACAAGAACGTCTTCCCGAACTTGCCCGCCGGGTGGCAGGCATCTCCGGGAGGAGGGGGGAGGGAGGAACAGGAGGAGCGAGGAGGGCAGGAGGAGGAATGAAGGAATGATAGAGGAGGAGGAAGAAGGGAGGGAGGAGAGAGGACGAGGGGGGCAGGAGGGAGGAAGAATGACGAAGGAAGAAGCAGCGTGGAGAGAGGAGGGAGGACAGACGAGGATGATGGAGGAAAGAGGAAAGAGGGCATAGAGACGAGGTGGAGCGGATGGTGGGTGCGGGGGGCCTGAGGACGAGGGAGAAGCATTTGGCTGACTTGAGCCAACAGCGCGACGGCCCCAATCCACAGGCCTCGCCGCCGCATTGTGGGAACAAGGCGCGCCCGCGCGCGTGAGGAGGCGAGACAGCAGGAGTCACCGACCCTGCAAGAACACGTCAAACAAGGAGAGCGAAAACAAACACAATGGTCTGGTCGGTGCCTTCATCGAAGGCTCGTACATCAGGCCCATTGCACGACACGGGGCAGTCTAGAAACAGACCCCCACGCTGCGCTCAGCACTCAGCACCGACGGCCGTCGACTCCACCTCAAGGGGGCTCTTTCCCCAGGACCCCCCCGCCCTTCCCCGTCGATAGGGCACAAATCACAGTGACGGGAATTCCTTTCGACTCGATTACGACATGGCTCGAGATCCGTTGACCTGGCGCGCCTGCGGAGGAGGGCCCGAGAGAGACGGCCACGGGGAAATGAAGAAACGTGTCAATTGCCATACAGGGGAGACCTTCATCCCCTCACACATGCCCGCAGGGTCGGCGGATCTCAATGAGGTAGGCCTCTCACGCACGTCGGAGACTCCTGAGCCCGCCGTGGAGCCATCTTCGAGCCAAGGCGGACCATCGTGACGTCCAGATCGCGCATCTTGGGATATCGTGGCCACTTGAGAGTGGTATTGTGCTCTCTCGAGTGCTTCCATGGCCTGGTTAGCCAATCGGGGGGGAGGGGGGCTTTCTGTGGCCAGGGAGGTGGTGTACGCGCTCGTCCGAGGAAGAGAGGGAGGGAGGGATGGGGGGGGACGCGAAGTCGAAACTCCGACGCGCCCCGCAAAGCCCTGAATGGAGCGTCGGGGGACCTGTTTCTGTTGGTGAACCGGCCGATGGAACTCTGGGCCCGCACAGCCCCCCAAGAGGAGGTACTTCCGACATCTTGCCGCAGGCAGTGCCGGGAGGCTGGCCTTGGGGCGCCTCGCCCTCGCGGGGCCCTGGGGCTGGGGCACCCCCCTCCGGCGAACGAGTCACCGACCACGGCGGCGAGCGCCCGCCTCTGCTGAGAGGGGGGGGTCAGCGGCCAAGGGCTCCGCGGGGCCGGCCAGCCGCGTGTGCCCTCGGTCCGCCCTCTGCGCCGCCCGACGGCCGGCCGAGCGGCTGTGCCATGGCAGAGCGGCGCGGCCTCTGCGCGGTCTGCCCGGCGTGCCTGCGCCCGCTGGACTCGGACCTCGTCGCGAGCGGCTGCAACCACGTGTTTCACCGCGCTTGCCTGGCGGACGCGGGCCTGAAGCAGTGCCCGAAGTGCGGCGACGCCGCCTTCAAGGAGCGCACGCAGACCCTCTACAGCGTCAGTTTCGGCGCCTGCGGCGACTGCGCTGGGCCCGGCTCCGCTGCGCCGGCAGTGGGCGTCGTAGATGACAGCGACGACGACGTCATCGTGGACACCGTCGAGGCGAGGATCAGCAGAGAGGTCACCCAGATCCTCCAGCTGGAGCGCTCGGTGAAGAGCCAGCGGCGGGAGCTTGACGACAAGCAGAGGGAGCTGGCGCAGCAGAAGGAGCAGCTGGAGCAGCAGGAGCAGAAGCGGGCATCCAGGGTGCAGGACACGAAGCGGCTCGCGGCGCAGCGCCTGTCACAGCAGCAGGAGCTGGAAACCGCCAGGCTGAAGTGCCAGTCCCTCCAGGAGGAGCTGAACAGACTACGGCTCCGCGACACGATTCTCGACTACACGGACCTGCGGCGAAGCTCTGGGGACGAGTCTGCCCTGCAGTTCTTGACCACGATGGTAAGCACCGTGCAGGATCCGAGCAAGGTGATCGTGGACATGACACGCCTGCGAGGGCACTACCGCACGCACATGACGAAGTGGCTGAAGGAGACGGGCGCCGCCAAGCAGCAGCTGTCGAAGGTCCGACGGGAGCTCGAGGAGCAGAAGCGGGCCGCCGCGGAGGCGGAGGCCAGGCTGGAGCGCACCGGCGGAGCTCCCGCCGACCGGTCCCGCTCGCCGGCCGCAGGCGGCCGCCTGCCGCGGAGGTGACCCGCCTCCGCGTCGACCGCACGGTTCTGTGGCGTCCAGGCCGCCAGCCTGGCTGAGCTCCGTCCCCAGACCCCCTGGCGTCGTGAACAGAACCACGGCGGGAGGCGTTTGCACGTGTTCGCTCTCGGGAGGCCGTTTCCGGGCTTTTCCGGGGCAACGACAGGGCGGGATGGGCAGAGGGGGGGGATGCATCGACCCCCGATCGCCCATTGATCGCGGATAGGGGTCTGATAGCCCCACCCTGCCCAGGAATGTGCGGATCCATAATCGGAGGCCTGTCGCCGATCTATGGGCGATGTATCGCCGATTCTAGGTCGATGTCCCCCCCAATGCCATTTCCCCCGTATCGTTGCCCCTCAGCACTGGGGCCATCAAGCAATTATTCGGGATGAAAAGCTGGTCCCAGGGAGGGGTGTAGGTCCTTGAGGGTCCACGTTGTGACAGATCCACGACGTCGGGTGTCTGGGTCTTGGTGAGGGGTGACGGGGTCATGTCACCAGGACTGCCAGGGGCCGCAGTCGGATGGAGTCCTCAGGGCGCACGCTTGCGCTCGAGGGGGGGATCAAAAAACACGACACATCGAACGCAAGGCTGTTTGCACCATGCTGTGCTGCCTTTACGTCTGTATGGCACGCATGGCTGCATGCGTACATACATGAGCGCACGCGCACACGTTTAAAAATGCAGCGGATCGCCGCCTCCGCAAGGGCCGCACACACAGTAGCAGCTTCCTATCTCCTGATCTCCATGGCGTAATGCTAGCCCCAGCATGGTTAAGGTCCCTCCCCCCGTCCTCTCCTGGGGCCGGGAACAGCGCTCACGGCAGCGAAGGATTTACTATTCTTCTTCCCAGGGATTGTCGTCGTCGTCGATCGTCGTCGTCAGCCGTCGGCCGTCGTCGTTCGTCGTCGTCGGTTCGCCGTCGCGCTATTCTTCGCCCGACCTCGCTGGCGATCTTAGGCCGCCGAAGGCTTCGTTTTTTTTCGCCCGAAGGAGTTGTTTTTCGCTTCTTGAGCTTACATCAATGGACGCGCTTTGCCATGATGAGCAACTGACTTCAGGGCTGCACTATCTAGTGGCCTCCAGCCTGCCCTGCCACCGTGACTTGGAACCCTTCAGGGCCTCTGATGGGCCTCCCGGGGTCTCGAGGGCATCGGGTGATCCTCCGGAACGGCTTCGGTGGTCGTCTCGGCTGGAACAGGGCAGGTCTTGGGCATTTGGCCCGGCGAGCCGTCTGAAGTCAAGAGGATCGTCAAATTGTAGGCGGTTGTTCAGTTATTCGGGGCGCCATCTGATGGGCGACGCAAGAGAAAACGGGGTCGTTTTCGCCGACATTGGCGCGCAAGCTGCCCGCGTAAGGTCGCGCGCAAGCGCCCTCGCCTGTACTGTAGCGTGCCGCGCTAGCGGCCCGCTTAAGCTGCGGCGTAAGATCGCTGTGCCATCTCGCGTAAGACCCGCTTTTGATCGGCGCTCATATGGAGAAAGTGGAAACGCGCGCAGGAAGGCGGACAATACGTCCGTCGTACACGAGGCTGAGATGCAAATGTTAGTGCGCCTTGCAAATGGTGACCTCCACGCACGCCAGCATACTACCCTCTGGTGCTTTGACTTGTTCAGACGTGTCCCCACATGCGTGTGCACGCATTGATTCGCCTCCTCCTGCAATGAGTGCGGCACAGCTTCTATTGTGTGGTATCATCATTTCTGCACTTTCTCTTATAGCACATATGTATACAGGAGAGCGGCACCGCCTTGTGCAAGGGGGGAAAACACACACAGACACAAATAAACGTCGATTTCCAGAAACATTTGGGAAAATATGGGAAGTAGAGGTGAAGACGAAACTCCAGAACATATGGAAACATCGGGTAAATTGTGGGATTTGTGGAGTTGTCCCTGGACGCCTTCATTGTCAATTGTGTCCGTGAGCGCGAACCGCGCTGTCAGCAGACCACAACGGGGGTTGCTGTGGGCCTGACCGCCACCTAGGAGACCCATCGTCTCTGACACCCGCTTGGAGAAGTCGGCGACACAATGGGCTCCCCCAGGGAGGTTCAGGAGCACAGCTCCCCCAGTTGTGGCTGGTCGGCATGACCACTGGAGCCCGCTGATGCTCCAGCAAGTGCCCCCTGGATTACTCACGAGTCCTCTTTTCGAGCGATCCGCCGAAGCACATCGTGCAGGGCACCTGGAGCTCGTACTTCGGACAGTGACCTTGGAGCGAGCGACTCTACTAGCACAGCCTCCTGCATCTTGCTGAACCCCGTGGCCTGACCCCCTCGTCATCTTTCTGCTCCTGTTTCCCCTCGTCATTTTCCTCATCACTTTCCGTCTCCGTTGTTACTAGTACAGCCTCCTGCATCTTGTTGGATTGCGCGATTTGACCCCCTCATTCCTGCACCTCGGCAACATCACCGCCCTCATCTCCCTCGTCATCTTTCTGCTCCTGCTCCCCCTTGTCATTGGCCTCGTCACTGTCCGTCCTCACGTTTCTCGTTGTGTTTCCATCAGTATATTTGCTTCGTTGTCTTGTTACTTGTTCCTGCTCCTGCTCGGGCCGCTCACCTCTTCCACGCGAGCCCTAGTGCTCTTCGCACACAAGCGAGGCCCCGCATCCCGCCCGCGCTTCGCGTGCTCAGGCATGAGATCCTCGCGACGTGGCGCGCTGAGCAAGGCCCCTAGGGCGCACAGTGGAGGATGCGAAGTAAGCACGTAAGGATGACACAAAGGTTGGACACAGATAAGGATACGCAGGAAGAGGCGGATGGGGACGTTTGGCTGTCTGTCGGGCGCCAGCCAGTGTCATGGCGGCCACATTCTCCACCGCGTTTAGGCAAACTCTTCACCCTGAAGATTCGAACCTGAGGTAATCAGCCATGGAAGGTCGCCTCCAGACATCCTGGGTGAGTAATTTACACGCTTGAGAGACAGTGGGATTATGAGTTCGCTAGACTTCTGCCATTCTCCACCCCAGCATCGCAATTGGCCGCACAAGGGGAGTTAGCAGCGATTTCAGCAGTGTGCTGTCCGCACATCCTGCACTGAACTAAGAGGTCATCTGATGCGCCTCCATGTAGTTCTCGCACCCCACGTGTAGTTCCACGGATTGTCCATGGCGCCCTGGCGTCCAGGTGCAGCACCGCAAAATTTGCAGACAATACCCTAATATTAGTAACTTTCCGATTGTCACTCGTTCCCGAAACAGCTCACGATATTTGCTTTGAGATTCCTCGCTGAGTTTCCAGCGCCTTCAATTTGTACACGCCTCATTTTCACTTGTGCTCGTGGTGCATACCTTTCCGATGCTTGCGCGCTTGAATGACTTTGGCCTCGTAGTCAGCATATAAGGAGATGATGATGGTGATGATAATGATGATGATGATGCTGATGATGATGCTGATGCTGATGATGATGATGATGATGATGCTGATGCTGATGCTGATGCTGATGATGATGATGATGAGGAGGAGGAGGAGGAGGAGGAGGAGGAGGAGGAGGGAGAGACATACCACTCTGCGTTGAGCCGTGGCACGGCTGTCTCGTGGTGGCGTGATCGGTCGACCACAGAGGACTTGTGTACGACGAGGAACCCGCGCCCCAGAGATCGCAATCACTGATTCCGACACCAAAACCACAGTAAGAGGCCCGCAGCAGAGCACCTCCGCAGCAGGGCGATGCACCGCTCTGGCTTTGGGTGCCGTCGGCCCTCGTGGGTGCGCCTGGCACGCAGCGTCGTGATGGGCGCAGGGCAGCGTCACGGTCATGTGACGAACCACTTGCGCGCAGAGCTGATTGGTCCAAGTACTGCGCGAAGAGCTGGCTGGCCCTAGTGACCCATCGTTGGAGGAGGACGTGCCGGAGGACTTTGAGGAGGAGGAGGAAGGAGGAGGGGAACATAGAGGTAGAGCTAGAGGAGGATGGGCAGCAGCAGCAGCAGCAGGAGGACGGGGTCCGGGCGACACAGCCGCATCGGTTGGAGGATGACAGCATGCTGGCATCCTCCAACCGATGCAGCTGCGTAGGACAGCTGTGGCGGCGACCCAGCGCGGGCGTTCCAGGCTGAACGCCTCCTGTGGCCCGCACAGGGCCGATGTCAAACGGTCTGCGCTCTTGGAAAGCCGCGATCGTTCAGGGTTGAACCAACTACACGGTGACGGAAACCAACGCGCACCGTATCGCGACGTGAATCTGCCGCAGAGCGGGGAGGGAGCCGAGAGAGGTGCGGGGTGGTGGCGCGGCCCCGCGCCGGCCGGTCAGAGGCAGGGGCCGGCTGGGGCTCGGCTGGCTTCCCTCGGTCGCGCTCACCGCCGGTGGACGCACAGGGCCCCTGGGGGCCGCGCTGGCCAGAGCAGACGGGCCCGCGCGCCACAGGTTTGACGACCCGCCCGCCCGCTGTGAGGCCCGTGACTTCCCCCCTTTGCCCCAGGTGGCCCCTACCGCCTCGCGTTGCGACATCATCACGACGGGAGATTCTCACGGCCATCTTCGGACTTGTGGGCCCTGCAGGGCCGTGAGAGGACGGGTCGGGGCGACGGGTTGGTGCTGACGAGAGGGGTCCGGAGCTCCCGTGGCCCACGTGGACAGGATCGCGGCGTCCGTGGAGGCTGCGTAGGCGCGGAGCCCGCGGCCCGCCGGTGGAGGGGGCGAGGGGGCGGGAGGGCCGGGGGGAGGCGGGGCCCTGGTCGCCCGACACTTCCGCGGCAGCCGCGTCGAGCCGCCGCCTCGCGGCGGGCGCGCAAAACAGGCAGCGGTCCTTCATCGGTATTGTTGAACCGACCCCCATCCCCATCCCCATCCCCTTCGAGACCCCCACCAGCTTACCACCCCAGTTGGGGATACACCCCTCGAGACCCGAAGGGAACGGCCTATATCCCCATCTAGGTAACTAGGTAAATCGGCCAGTGGGGCCCAGGGCGGCCCAGGCCACGCCGCTGCGGATGGGGATCGGTTAAACAATATTTCAGCGTGCGTCCAGTTCACTCCCCCTGTATTTCCTTGCATCTCTCTCTTCTGTCCACCGTTGGCGTCTCCATTCCCGAGAGGGCTTCGAAGCGGACGTGCTTCGAGCCGCCTCGACCGCCCAGCAGTCCCACAGGTTGAGCGTGGTAAGCTAGTGCGTGCGTGGTCTTGTGCCGGTGAAAACGTGCGATCTTCACTGGCCCCGTTCTCGGGAAGGCTCAGGAACGGACGTGTTGCAAGCCGCCTCGGCCGCCCGGTCCTGCCTGCCGATCGTGGTAACGTGATAGTTTTTTTTCATGTGCGTGGATCTTGCGCCGATGAAGCAGCCGTGCAATTGTTCACTCGGCGCGAGCTTCGAAATTGAGCCAAAGCTTATCCCCAGCTTGCGCTGGTCCACCTGGCGGCGGGGGTGCTCATCGGCCTGTGCGTGGCAGAGGCGTCAGCTGCTCAAGCCAGTTCCGTGTAACAGCCGACGGCGTTTACAAATTATCGGTTTCGCGTGCTTGAAGTATCCCACGAGCTCGTCTAGAAACGGTGTCTGCGCTAGTGGCTGCGAGAAGGGAAGAGAAGATGCACCAGTGAAAGAAAGACAGGGGACACTCAGCCATATCTGAAAAAGGAACGGCCCAAATACTCCGCAAAAGTACAGAGGTCCCAGGAGGCCATCAGAAGTGACCCCAAGACTGACCTCTGGGGTCATCACTCAGCGACCTGGAGGCGCCAAGCTCGAACAACGCGTCCAGGGCCTCGAGAACAGCCATGCGCCACTCCCAACGAGCGCGCGAGGGCGCTCAGAGATCAT